GAAACTCTGTTCAGCACAGAATCAGGGAATAGCCTGAGTTGGAAGGGATCCACAAGGATCATTGATCCAACTCCTGCACTGAACAGGACACCCCAAAATCCCAAAAACACTCCTGGAGCTCTGTCAGCCTTGGGGCTGTGACACTGCCCTGGGAGCTGTTCAGTGCCCAAACACCTCTGGGGGAAGAACCTTGTCCTGATATTCAACCTAACCCTGTTCCAGTGCCCAAACACCTCTGGGGGAAGAACCTTGTCCTGATATTCAACCTAACCCTGTTCCAGTGCCCAAACACCTCTGGGGGAAGAACCTTGTCCTGATGTTCTCCTCTGTCCTGGCACAGCCCCAGGAGCCACATGTGCTTGGGGCATCTGCATCTATTGCATCAGCTGGTCAGCCCCTTCCTTCTGATGTGTCCAACATTTTACATTGGCAAATATTTCAGCATCTACTTGACAGCAACTACAGCCTGGGAAAAGGCAAGTGGAGGAGGCTGTGGTTTGGGCTGGGGAGGATAATACCTCCAGGGACCATGGTGGCACTCAAACACTGCTGAAGTGGCAGTGATAACGAAGAGAGGAGCTGCATAAACAGGAAAAAATGAGCTTAGCAGTGAGCAGAGCAGATGAATTTTAGAGCAGCACTATTCCTGTCCTTCCCTAAGATAGCAAACTGGGAAAAAAAGCCTGAAAATATCTGGAGATGTGGTTATACATTCTCTTGCTCTACTATGGGACAGACAAAGCTTGTCCTGGGGCAGGGGTAGAATTCCCATCCCTAGAGGGATTTAAAAGCTGTATGGATGTGGAACTTAGGGACATGGGTTAGGGGTGAACATGGCATGGGGAAACAGTTGGACTTGATGGTCTTAGAGGCCTTTTCCACCACAAACGATTCCATGACCTCCACATGGAGAGCCAACAAACCATCCCAGCTTCCCTCCCAACAGCTGAGCTAGAGAAGTTGCCATTTCTACACACTTAAGAGGAAGGATGGAGCCATCCTGCCCTTCTCTGAAGGGAATGCATGACTGTCACCTTCTTCAGAGGTGCCTTGAGGAGCTTACCTGACCCGAGGAGCATTGAACACTTCTCCATCTGTCCCAAGGGATAAATTCCAGACAGGAATAAGGTCCTCGGTGGGAAGGAAAACCAATTCATGGTCTTACTGACTTATCCTGAGGCATCACCCACACAGGCTTTCATATAAATGATAGTTTTATTGTAAATAAAAGATACATTGGCCTGGCTTTGCACTGCAAGCCCCCGGTCGGTATATAGAGACTACTGGGTCAAGGTCTCCTGCACAATCCAGGTCAAAGCTGTTTCTCCCTGCTCTGCACTGTTCATGGGGACAGTAAAGCCCTTTTCTCCACCTCTAACCTGCCCCTGCTGCCTCCACCTTTGCTAATCCACCTGCTCAGTGGGATTTGCTCCTAAACAAGGCAGGGGTTAAACATCTGATGCCCAAACACCATTAAACTGGAGGACAACTGGTTTGTCCTGAAAATTAACAACTGGCTGACTCCCAGATCCAAGGGCAGGACCAAAGTGACAGCCCTAGACCAAACCTCTCCACCCAGCAGCTCCTAACAGGAGCCCCAGGTCCCCTCACCTTTGCCCACCCAGGGACGTGTGTGTTTCTGGAGATTTCCCGAGTTATCCTGGCTCTCTGGGCACTTGGAAATAATGTGTCACCTGAGCAGGCACCAATTTCCCTCTTGGGCAATTTGTGTTGGTAATTAATGGCACTGAGAACTGTCTGGAGCATCTTCAAGTGGATTTTTGGAATACTACTCCAAAAATAAACTAGGTTCAAAGAGCTGCAACCTCCTGCCACTGGAACAGGCAAAGAGCAGATTTTCTGGAGAAGAAGCAAATAACCTGGAATGCACAGAATCGTCACACCGAGCCCAAAATGCCATGACTTTGTTTCCCAACAAACTCAGGGACAGCCAAACCTCCCCAAGTTCCTCTCTGAGGGGAATCTCAGATAGTTTTCTGCTCAGTTTCAACCGTTTCAGGATATTGGGACTCTGATAAAAAATCCTTTGTCAAACAGAACTAGTCTCCATTTCTGCAGCACCTTCCATCAAAGATCCCAAAATTCCTTCCCTGGAAGGAACAGCAGGAAACCCCAGTGACATCTGGGCTGGACACAACAGCTCATGGTCAGCCTGGCACCCTTTCTCCACTCTCCCCTAAATGAGTTTATTCCCAGTTTTCCCCAATTCTGCCAGGATAAAGACACCAGCTGTAACTCAAATTTGAGGTATAATTACATTTATGTCCACTTGAAACCTTTTTTGCTGCCAGGGCTGTTAAGAGCCCTCACAGAACCAATGTCAGCCCTGAGATATTCAGCAGAGCAGTGGACTCAGGAATCCTGATCTTCCCTTTCCAGGACCAAGAGAGCTGTGAGGAAACAAAGAGGCATTTTGGCTTGGCTCTACTCATAAACCATCAGCAAATTCTCTGCAAAACCAGCTGCTTTTTTTTTTTTTTGTTTTTCCTTTTGAAACTCATAAAGGCGTCAGATTTTTCCCCCCCTTTCTCCTCCCCCCAAACCCTGTAACAGTCGATATATATAAAAATCACCAAATATGATCTTTTACGATATAAATAACAACAAAAAAAAAAAAAGGTATGAGGCATCACCGTTTACATGATGTAAAAAGAGCTAAAAAAAAAAAACCAAAAAAAAAAAAGAGAGAGATATAAACTACATTCATAAAAGTGCATCTCCAAACATACAGGTAATGCTTTGGCTTGTTCCTGTGCCGAACGGGTGGCGCTGGGGCACAAAAGTCCAACTGGCACCCCGTGTTCTCTGTCACTCTACAACTGCTAGTTACTTCCACTACTACAGGCTGGAATACAGGTGTATACACAGAGAGTTAGGCACATCTCAGCATAGGTGGGAAGGCCCAGAAGCTCTGGAGGGGACAGGACTGAGCCCATCAGTCCGTGGTGCTCTTTGCTCAGCTCTGGAACAACCTCCCGTGGATGTGTATGAGGTAAAAGCCACACCAGGTCCTGAGGATTGAGTTGCTTTGAAACGTTAAAAGTGACACTGTTTCCTCATGCCCTGTTCTCTCCCAAAACACAGCAAGGAAAGGGGAAGGTCTCAAGTGGGTGAGGACAAGCCAAGGACAGAGAAACCCCCA